CCCCCCCCCCCCCTCCTCGCTCCCCCTACTCCGGTGTGCTTCGCCAGTGATTTTTACCACTGCCAGCGTTTCTATTACTTCCCCCTTTGCTTCTTCATAAATGAATTTTTTAATTATTATTTTTGTGCCTTTTCTGGCCTTGATATTTTTTATTTTTATGGGTTTTGCGCTTTGTAACAGCGGCGGCATAAAGCGCATATTGTCACGCCTTTGTCTGTGTGTATGTGTGTGCGTGTGTGTCCAAGCGCATTTTGTCTCGTATTTTCTACTCGGGGACCACGAAAGCCGGGACGTTGAAATTTTAGTAGAATGTTTCCTACTCACGTGCAACCCCGCTTGCCCTCGGGTATCGCGTACGACCCTGCAGAAGCTTCGGCGGGAGAATTATTATCTTGGGAACCACGAGAGCTGAGAATCTGAAATTTTAGGATAATATCCCCAACCTGCATGCGACACCGGCAATTTAAGTCCCAGCCTTCCCGTTCAACTGGGTGTTGCGTACGGATTCGACGAGGAAATTTAGTATCTCGGGAACCATAAAAGCTAGGAAGCTGAAATCTTAGGACAGTTTTCTCTGCCCGCGTATGACCTCACAGATTTGATTTCAACCTCGCGGTACATCTGAGTACCATATGCGGTCCTGTGAAAATTTTGGCGGGGAAGACTGCTATTTCAGGAGCCACGAAAGCTAGGAGGCTGGAAATTTAGCGCGATGTCCCTTGCTTGCGTGCGAAACTGCATATTTAAACTCAGCCTTTCCGTTTGCCTGGTACCATGTATGGCTCCGTGAAACTTTCGGCGGAAAAATTGCCATCTCGGGAATCACAAATCTGGGAAACTGAAACTTTAGGGTAATGTCCCCCTCTCACGCACGACCCGCAAATTCAAATTCGGCTTTCACGTAAGCCTGGGTATCATGTGTGGCCGCGTGAAGGTTTTGGAGGGAAATTATTAATTCAGAGAAAGAAGGAGAAGGCGAAGAGATAGGAGGCTGAAAACATCAGGAGAATGTTTTGTGCCTGTGCACAGGCCTTACAAACTCAAATTTAGCTCCCAGTTATGACGAGGTCTCACGTATTACTGCCCGAAAGTTTTGATGCGAAAGTGACTCGTAAGCTATGGAACTAAGAGGTTAAAATTTCGGAACGGTATTCACCATCCAAGATTTCGATTTTATTTTTCATGTGCGTTTACGTTTCATCTGAAATCCTTGATGGGAAATTTCGCAGCTTAGGTAACAAACAGCATATCGATTATTTTTGCACAGACAAAAGCATAAAACAGTGAAAATCCTTAGCAGGCAGACGTCGGCTGGACGAAACTGCACAAAACGCGTGATATCGCCGGCTAACCTGGTGCTCGCCGCAATTTATTTAATTTGAGAAGATAATACAAAGTTATTTTTAAGGCGTTGCTCGAGGAACGGGTATTTCGGTCTTCGATGTTGCGGAAACATTACAGTCGTTAAAAATGATCGAAATTAAGGATGCTCAGTAAGTTTATTTTTGCATTGGTTGTATACATTTTGTAACTGATATCCTGTCGGACGTGCGTAGCTTTTTTCAGATGAGGTTACTGTCAGCTTTCTATTTCAGAAAGTTCGTGAATCTCCAATTAAAAATAACAATTTAAGGGTAAAAATCATGATGAATGTGTCGTTGCTCAAAAGTCACTGGACGAAGACAAGAAGCGACTTGAGACGTATTTGGCTAGATGAAAGTAGGCTGTCGGTATGTTGCATTTCGTGCATCGAATTTGCCAAGTAAATGGACTTTCGGGATTTATCTATGACGCTGTGCCGAAACCTGCTGTCGTTTGTTCCATTGTGTATACATCACATGGGCTTCTGTCAGCATTGACTCGTAACAACTTGCATTTTTCAACAGGGACTGATTTTAGTGGACGCCAGTTGTGAATCGGCATTCAAAGGAGTACAGTGAACGATCGCCATACCCGCTGCGTCTTCTTACATCTCCATTCCGACTGAGAGTGCCACCTAACAGTCATATCTTGGGGCGCGCAGATGTCGAAAGGCAGACGCATAAGGAGCAAAAGGTTTTTCAAAACCGACGGATTAAGAACGGTAAGGCGCGTCGAAAAGCATGTCTAGAAAAAGGGCGCTCAGCTGCCACTTCGGGTGAAGAAAAAGAGGCAACAGTCATTCCGAAAAGTACATGCCGAGGTACGTATTCACTTCTCTTTTCAGCCCTCAAATGGAAATTCTTTGTAGGCTTTATTTTTCATGAACGTTATCTAAAAGTTGGTCATGCCTTTCTGTCTGTCTTCTGCGTGCTTGCTGTGTCAGATGTCATGCAAGCCTAAAATTTGAATAGAATTTTCCTAAATGTGTTCGATTAATTTACAGCTTTTGTCATTGCACTGTGTGGGAAAACCTTCCATTTCATTCTCCTGTTAGTTTTTATTGCATGTTAGACTGCCTTCTTTATTAGGAATGGTTTCACGCTTCTTTGTCAACAGTGCGCATTATAAGGCTGACCCTATATCTTCCATGCTACGATCGAACAAATTTCATTCTCTGTTTATGAAATATGTCCAGTGACCGGTCTAAAATTAGTTTTGAAAGCGAGGTTTCTTGAATAGTTGCGTAAAAGTCTTTTGATTTTTTCTGAAATATCATTTCTTGCTTTCTCACTGCTCCGTATAGGAAGACATTTAAAAGAGGAAAAAGTAAGGGATGGGAGGGCTGCTTTTCCAAAACATTCACATTGTTCTTACGGACACACATTGTTCTTACGTTGTTACCTCGCTAATTCATATAGGTCGTTGTGTAATCATTGATCATATCGCCATTGCACACCAACTTTTACTGGTGTTTTGTATCCGTGTCTTCACACACTGCAAGAACTACACTGTTCGCTGATGCTCACAGTTTTAGTCAGCCTTCTAAGCTTTCTCACAAACGCTGCAGATTACTGTCTAAATGGTAATTCATTATTGCTCATGTTTTGCTTCTAGAAACATACTCTGATTTAGACCGATTCAGACTATATAGAAAAAATGCGGTACCCATTGGCGTGCTCTCTGCACATCACTGCGAACTTGTTAATCGTATCTCTCAAAGAAATAACATCGGAACTTGTGTCATAGGTCGCTTATGATTACAGATGGAAAACAGAAAAGGAGATGGAGAAAAACTAGTGGCGATGATGATTCTGATGGCGAAGTGAAGGCCCCAAAAATTCCGAGAAGAAAATTGCGTCAATGTATAATCATTTTTGTATTGTCTATAGTCGGTTTTGTTAATTCTTTAATATAGTTACTTGTAGGGATAAGAACGGTCTGAAAATTATCTCTTTGTTGTGTCACACAAATTCTTCGTATGACCCTTCGACAAACGGGCGCTGGCTGCTACACAGTCGACCGTATCTTCGCTCTGATTAACCTTCGTTTTTTAGCAGCTTTGATAATCACTTTGGTTTTTAGCAGAGCCAGCTCGAAGAAGGATGCCGAATAAAAGTCAGTCTGGTCGACCATCAAGGAAAAACGAGTCGAGAAAAGCTGCTGTGCGTGAGCAGTGCGCTTTCCCATCGTCAGATAGCGACCTATCGGGCAAGATCTTACAAAACTTATGAATCTGTAGTACAACTGCTGTGCTGTCATCAGTTCTTTTACGGCAAATCGATCCAACAGACAATCATTTTGAAACTTTCAGCTCCAAGCGAGAACATTCGAAGGAGAAGTAGACTTTGTCGCCGATATAAAAGACGCGCAGCACACCAAAAGAGAAAAGAGGTGTGATTGCTTAACGATGCACTTTTATACTGTAAATGTAGACTGTAAAAGGAGGTAGTAGTGGAAGTGTGTGAGTTGTTTCATCTGCGTTCGCTGCCTGCCCAAACCGAATGAGCTCTACTTGCTTTCCCCGTTAGCCCGTTCTGTCGCATGACGGTTGCAAGAGCGTGTTCCTGCTCGATCACTGCTGTTTATCAGAGTCATTTAAAAAAAAAAAAAAA